TTCCCTAGTTGTAGGACTTCCATTCAGCTATATTTCAGACTCTGAATGATGGTTGTTCTTAAGATTAGTTGTATTTTTTATGACCAGAGCCTCTATTTCTAATCTTGTACCCATGTCACATAGCATGTACACAAATACAGTATTGCTTCTATTCTAAATGTACTTTTCTGTGTTTTTTTTTTAAAATATTAAAAAAATAAAACTATCATACAATCCAACAATCCCACTTCTGGGTATATATCCAAAGAAATTGAAATCAGGATCTCAAAGAGATATCTGCTCCCCAAGTTTATTGCTGCATTATTTACAATATTCAAGATATGGAAACAACCTACATTTCTTTTTTTTTTAAGTCATAGGTATTTTATTGGGTGACGTCAAGGCGAGTCCCATGGCACCTCACAGTGTAGAGCCAGCAGAACCAGGAACATCTCCACCCCACCCACCCAGCCTCCTGACCTGGCGCTTTGTGGGAAACGGTGCAGAACCCGCACCCTGCCAGGCGGCATCGGCACTCATCCCTGACCGCTGGCCCAGTGTAAGGTCCTGGGACTTGGGCAATGGCCACCCTACCCTGTGGGGAGCCTCTGACAGCTGTCCTTGAGGAGGGCCCAGCACTTTTACCGGCTCCATTAAAACTGCTCACCCCAAGTCACCCCTTACAGATCCCTGGCCACTCAGAATCCAACCTAGTTGTCCTAGAACAGTGGTCAGCAAACTGGCCCCTTGAGTCTGGCTCTTCCACAAAATACCATGTGCGGGCGCGCACGTACAGTGCGATTGAAACTTCGTGGCCCATGCCACGGGGCCAAAGAGCTGCATGTGGCTCGCGAGCCGCGGTTTGCTGACCACTGTCCTAGAGATTGGCTGCATCAAACAAAGAACAAGCCCCCCAAGGGCCAGTCCATGCAAAGCCACTCGCATGCAAAGGAAGAAGATTCTACGGGCAAACCCAGGTCCTGGCAGGACGGGGACCCAGGGTAGATCTCAGGGGGCTGGGATAGTGGGAGCCACATCTGCCTGGGCCTGTGCTACCACAGCCAGTAGGAACTGAGCTCCCGCAGGGAAACCAGGCCAACGCAGCTGAGGGTGGCCGTCCTGGAGGCTGGGCCCATCCACACTTTCCAAAATCCCAGCCCCAACAGGAAGGACCAGCATGTCCCACATCTTGGCAGGTGGCCTCCAGCAGCCCCCCAGCCTCACCACATGGAGACGGTCAGGAATCACACGGGCAGGCAGGAGCCCTGGAGAAAGGCACATGGGCATCTAAGGCTTAAGGTCAGGCACAGGTACCCACTGGCTCGTGTGGCTGGGCAAAGAGCTAGTGTGAAAGGAGGATGATCCAGACCAAAGAGGGCAAGGTCAGCTAGTGCCCTGGCACCCTGCAGACCGCCCTGGTCACACCCACTCCTGCAGCCCTGGAGACGCCAGGGCCAAGGCCAGAAGCCCCTGTGGGTAATGAGGTTGCCAAGGGGCCCAGAGCTGCCTCCTTTCCCCCAGGGGATCGGGAACTGCCCCCCTGTCATTCCCCAAGTCCCTAAACCAGGGGTGGGGAACCTTTTTTCTGCCAAGGGCCATTTGGATATTTATAACATAATTCGTGGGCCAGACAACATTATCAACTTGAAAATTAGCCTGCTATATTCGGTCAAACACTTAATTAACTCACCCCTAATGCCTTGGCAGGGCCAGACCAAATGATTTTGTGGGCCTTACATGGCCCTCGGGCCAAAAGTTCCCCACCCCTGCGACACCACTGGGCCACAGTGCAGAAGCAAGAGGAGAAAAGATGGCGAGCCAGCGGGCACCAAGGTCACCCTCTGAGATGTAATTCCTAGGACAGCCGATGGGATGAGGGGCAGCACGCCTGTCCCTTTCCAGCAAGATCAAACCAGGGCTGGGCACCTGACCCCGAGATGTGGGACAGGCCAGGATACGGGCCAGTGGGGGCTGGGGGCCAGCCGTTGGCTCTAGAAAAGGGGTTGCCCCCCTGGAGCAGGGTGGAGGGGCTGGGTAGGCCCAGTGCACCGAGGTCAGTCACCTGGACGGACAGACAGGTGGACGGCGGAGGCGCCGAGGGGCTCACTGCATGTACGAGTAGCGCCAGTCCCCCAGAGGTTTGTGGGTCTCCTTGATCACCTGGGGCGACGTCCACCGCAGGATGTAGTGGGGCCCCCCGGGCTTGTCGTTGGTTCCAGAGGATCGGGCTCCCCCAAAGGGCTGCTGGCCCACCACCGAGCCGGTGGACTTGTCGTTGATGTAGAAGTTGCCCGCAGGGTTCCTCAGCATCTCGGTGGCCTCCCGGACAACGTCCTTCTCCTGGGCGAACACTGCCCCCGTGAGGCCGTAGCGGGTAGTGCTGTCCACCAGCCGCAGTGTCTCCCTGTACTTGTCTGGGTAGACGTACACGGTCAGCACAGTCCCAGAGATCTCCTCCTTCATGATGGGCTCCTGAGGGTCCTTGCTCTCCACAATGCAGGGCTCCACGAAGTAGCCCACAGAGTTGTCCCACTTGCCGCCCGCCAGGACAGTGAGGCTGGGCGAGGAGCGGGCGTGATCCAGCCACTTCTTGATGCGACCGAAGGACTTGGCATCAATCACTGCAGAGGAGAAGGTGCCGAAGTCTTCTGCAGGGCCGCCCACTTTGACCCGTGCTCCTCCAGCAGCCGCGTTTTGATCTGAGGCCACAGCGAGTGAGGCACGTAGAGGCGGGAGCAGGCTGAGCACTTCTGGCCACTGTACTCGAAGGCCGAGCGCAGGGTCCCGCTCACCACGCTGTCCACGTCCGCGGAGCGGTGCGCAGAGTGGAAGTTCTTGCCGCCGCACTCTCCGGCCAGGCGTGGGAAGGTGCGAAAGCGATCCAGGGTCTGGGCTGCCTGCTTCCACAGGTTTTTAAAGGTGGGCAGGCTGCCTGTGAAGTTGATGCCGCACAGGTGCTCTGAGCTGGTAATCGTGTCCCCAAATGTGGGCCCGTCAGCTGGCACGAACTGGATGATGTTGCGGTAGATGGCGTAGCTGGCCAGCATGGCCGTGTCGCTGGGCTTCCAAAGGACCACATTGCCCATCAAGGCCGGCGCCCCCGCCAGGTTGCCGCCAATCGCAGTGAAGTTAAAAGGGGTGATGGCCGCCACAAAGCCCTCCAGCCCCCGGCACACCACGCTGTTGGTGCTGGGCGGCACCCTGATGGGCTGCTCCCCCTCCAGCTCCACAGCAAACTTGGCGTTGAATCGGAAGAAGTCGAACAGCTCGGCCGCCCCGTCATCTCCGCTTGGATCACTGTCTTACCCTGTCCCACCATGGTCTTGGCAAGGACCTCTGCCCTGCGCGGCCCGCTCAGCATGTCTGCTGCCTTCAGGAAGATCTGGGCCTGGTCTGTGACAGGCTTCAGGTCCCACTCCTTCCTGGCGGCCAAGGCGGCCTCAATGGCTTTGTTGAGCAGGGCCTTGTCTGCATAGCAAAACTTGGCCACCTTGTGTCCACGGTTAAAGGGCGACACCTGGTACTGCACGTTTGAGGTCCACACCTCCTCATCCCCCACCACGCACGGGATGGCTTCGGTCCGGCCCTTCAGGTCCTTCAAGGCCTTCTGCAGCGCATCTCGCTCAGGGCTGCCCTTGGTGAACGCCAAGATGGGGCTCGTTGGCCACCTTCAGGGGGAGGCGTGTTTCCACCGAAGCCTGGCCCCACTCCAGGGGCGGGCGAGCAGGGCGCGGCGGCATCTCCAGCTCCCGGTGTGGCTGTTCTCGGGTACATTTCTGAGTACAGATGAATGGATAAAGAAGATGTGATATAGATAGATAGATAGATAGATAGATAGATAGATAGAAAGAAAGATAGATATAGAACTTTACACACACACACACACACACACACACACACACACACACACTAGAATAGTGTCGTGTCTGCCATGAGAAAGAATAAAATCCTGCCATTTAGAACAACATGGATGGACCTTGAGAGCATTATGATAAGTGAGATAAATCAGACAGAGAAAGATAAATACTATATGATACCACTTATATGTAGAATCTTAAAAAAAATGAACTCATAGAAGCAGAAAGTAGAATTGGCAGGGGGGTGGATGAAGAGGGAGGAATGGGGAAATGTTGGCCAAAGGAACAAACTTTCAATTGTAAGATGAATAGATTCTGAGGATCTGATGTTCATCATGGCAATAATAATTAACAATACTGGACCCAGCCAGTGTAGCTCAGTGTAGAGTGTCGACCTATGAACCAGAAAATCATGGTTCAATTCCTGGTCAGACCATATGCCAGATTGCAGGCTTGATCCCCAGTGTGGAGTATGCAGGAGGCAGCTGATCAATGATTCTCTCTCATCATTGATGTTTCTATCTCTTTCTCTCTCTCCCATCCTCTCTGAAGTCAATAAAAAATATCTATTTTTTAAAATTAACAATACTGTATTATATACTTGAAAATTGCTAAGAGAGTAGGTATTAAATGTTTTCACCACGCCTGACTGGGTAGCTCAGTTGGTTAGAGCATCGTCACAATATGCCAAGGTTGTGGATTCGTCACCAGTGAGAGCACATACAAGAATCAACCAATGAATGCACAAATAAGTGGAGCAACAAATCAATGTTTCTCTCTCACACTCTCCCCCCCCCCTTCCTCTCTCTCTCTCTCTCTCAAATTCGATAAAAAATAATTTAAAAAAAATGTTGCCCTGGCTGGTTTGGCTCAGTTGATAGAGCGTTGGCCTGTGGACCGAAGGGTCCACAAGTGGCTCCTGGGATGACACATGCACAGAGCTCTTAGTATAATTGGTGGAATGTATCCTCGTGCACACGGGTTTGCACACAGGATTTACCTGTGCACTTAGTGCTAGCGCATGTGCATTACGTGCACACCTGTAATTGTACTTTGCGGTTATTCCAATTTTTCTGGGAGCAGCGGAGCTGAGACCGGTCTGAGATGTCCAGGTGGCCCATAGACAGTAGTGTCCCACAGATGGACACAGCACAAAGCGAGGCAATGGCCCGCAGGCGGAGGTAGGAGGCCAGAGGCAGGACCAGCCCAGGCATGGCCTAGAGCGGCCAGGGAAAGTCGGACGGTGGCAGCCAAGGAAGCCCGGCTGGCAGGCTGGCAGAAATCTCCAGATTGTTGACAGAGCCCACAGAGGAAGAGGGTCCTGGGAGCAGGCCCAGATCCAGGTCGGAGAACCAGCCAGACCTGTCTGCATTGCAATATCGTTCTAGGGATGAATTACCAGCAGTAATTGAATTACGGCCACTATCTGGAAAACTACTTGATTGCTCCAGGTATAATATAGGAGCTTGAAGAACAATGCAGGTGATTTGTGAAAGCCTGCAGAGCCCAGAAGCAGTGTTTAATGCTTGTGAGAAATGCTTACCTGTCCGATTCAAATTACAGATTGGAAACATGAAGTATGGTGGAAACGAGACTTTTAATACGGTCTTGCAGGAGCAGGTGCCTGGTTGAACAGGCACACTTGGAGTAATGATCACAGGCTATTTATCCCTAGGCTGGTTCCTCATTGGCTGAGTACTATGGGGTTAGCAGTTTTTCCCATAGTCACCTAGGACTTATTGTCTCCTATTGGGTTATTTTTTTTTAAATGGGCTGAGGCTGGCTTGACCGGTTTGGCTCAGTGGATAGAGCGTCGGCCTGCGGACTGAAGGGTCCCAGGTTCGATTCTGGTCAAGGGCATGTACCTTGGTTGCGGGCACATCCCCAGTAGGAGGTTTGCAGGAAGCAGCTGATCAATGTTTCTCTCTCATCGATGTTTCTAACTCTCTATCCCCCTCCCTTCTTCTCTGTAAAAAATCAATAAAATATATTTTTAAAAAACGGATGAAAGAATGAATGAATTTTTAAAAAAAAGGGCTGAGGCCTTTTCTAGTTGTCTCCACCTCCCTTTGTCTGGTTGTAGCAGGCGTATCTTCCTGGAAAATGTGCTACTGGTCACATACACAGTTCTTTGTTCTTATACCCTCTCCCCTCCTCCCCACATACTGTTTGCCCCAGGGAAATTCAGTAATGACTGGCCACATGCTGTTAGTTTTCTCTAAAAGTTGACTATGCTGAAGATGGATCACAGAGGCCTATTTCCTTCAATGCTGAATATCAGCAGAATCTTCAGAGGATGGACTTTGTGCATTTGGTTATCTGATAGAAGAACTTAGTTGTGATAAGTTTATCAGTAGAATATAGCGATGAAACTACTTCAAAAAGAACCTACGCATTCAAGACAACAGTCATACCAATCCTGTAACTTGATTTTTTAAAAAAATCAAAGTATATGAGAACAAGTCACTACTCAGTTGGGGAGTTGTGGGGAGAGGAACTTATGTAAAAGAAGAAAAGAAATTTTAAAAATGTCAGAAACCCTGTGACTCCCCTATCACTCTTTGAGTTTGTGATTGATCAGAATCTTTCCTCTGCATTGTGGAAATGTTTTGCAAAAATGCTTCAATGCTTGAAGGGCGTGGCTCAGTGGTTGAGTCTGGACCTATGAACCAGGAGGTCATGGTTCAATTCCCAGTCAGGGCACATGCCTGGGTTCCCACAACCCCCAGTGTGGGGCATGCTGGAGGCAGCCAATCAATGATTCCCTCTCATCATTGATGTTTCTATCTCTCTCTCCCTCTCCCTTCCTCCCTGAAATCAATAATTGCTTCACTTTTAAAGTAGTTTTATAAATTTGAGACTTGATGAAGAAAAAATAGCAATAATAGAGCCCATGATGATAAGAGGAATCAACCAATAATGATGATAGGAATAAGGAGTCACCACCAAGTTATTAGGACTATGAAGAGAACTTGGAATTGTGACAATGTGTTCTCTACTTGTGAAATTCAATCCTTTTTAGCATAAAATTGATTTTTGTGTTTTATGAGGCATGTCAAATGGCAAGCAAAGTAAATATTGCATATCCTATCTAATAAAAGACAAAAAGGGTAATTAACTGTACCTCTGCTACGCTTCCCATTGGCTAATCAGCAAGATATGCAAATTAACTGCCAACAAAGA